AAAGATAAAAGATAAATTAAAAATTTAGATAATTTTTTAATTCGCATTTACTAAAAAATTTTTCTTGTATAATCAATTATAATTTACACAAATTATTTAAATACTTCGGTATATTTTTCCTTGAAAAAATTTCTTAAAATTATTTCTTTTATTATATAAGAAATAATATTAACAATAAGACAAATGAATAAGCTTCATTTATCAAACGCTAAATAAACCATTAAATGGAATACACTGTTGAATTATTATATTTATTAATGATCTTTAAGAAAACTATTGAATAATTGCAGCTGCTGCCGATGAATATCCAGAATGAGAAAGATTTTTGTCCAGTCACGTTAGATTATTTGAAAAAAATCGGACACAACTCCACCACTTTTAGCGGAATTGGTAGCGCTATTACGGGTATATCGAAGGAAAATGGATTTATAACAGCAAACTCGGATTATCGTCGACAAGGAACTACAGCAGGACTATAATAATTATTGTATCGAATTCACGCGGATAATTTTATAATCCAAGATGGAGCATCGATTTTTTTCTTTGCGCTACCATAATTTTTCTTAAACTGCAATAATTTTTGATTGTAATTTAGGCATACGGTTCCTGACAAATGCTCTCTACATGACGTGGAATGTTTGTCTTATCACTTCCTATTTATATAAGAATGCAAGAATAAAGTATTTTACAAATTATGGAATTATCCGCAAGCGAATTATATGTGATTAGATAATTGTTATATAGATAAAATTTTTACTCTTAAATTTAAGAGACAATTTATATATTTCAAATCAAAATCATTGGCATATGTGTCGATTCAAAATATATTTGAAATCAATATGATTCCTACTTGGCTGTAAATACTTAAAAATTGTAATTGCGTATAAGTAATATTTATTTTATTATATTTCATCAATTATCACATCTCTGTATATATTTCATAATGTTTCACACATTCAAATGTATGAAAATAAAAATGTCTTTAGTTTGTGTTTAGTGTTTACAAATTAAATTTATTTTTAGATGTAAACTATATGTTTTTTTATTTAAATGAAAGATAACATACCCATAATTGGTAACGTAGGATTCTATTCTTGATAATGTAGACATGACAATTTTGCTGCATAAGCAATGTGAAAATCATGCAACTATATAATATAAAATAATAATAAAATATTTTATTAAAATAAAAAAAAATCAATTATGATGTATGTAGATAAATAATGAATTTTTCTTCTGAAATTAAGACCGCATTAAAAAACTGAAGATAGTTAAGATAATACATTATACGAATGCAATATACTCCCACATATTGTTGAAAAGAATAACGTAAAAAGAACTTAATTATTTGTTATTAAGTTGTTGTTGTATATAATTAATGTAAATTTATTTTAATATAATTTATATAAATTTCATGTTATTCATTTCATGTTATTACATAATAATTAAAATTAGGCATAATTATATTCATAAAAAATAATCAAGTGGAAGTTGTTGTGTAATACTGACATTATGATCAAATTATTATACTTCTTCAGGTTTTTCAATAATCTACATTTCCATAATCATGCTGATGTATATGTGCATGATATTTGTCATTCTTGAAATTTTACAGCGCAGGACATTATTACTATTTTTCAATCGAAACAAATTTTGTGTAATATAATAAACAAAACTTTGTTTATATATAAAATTCAGTACTAATTTTCAAATTATCAAACCAGCAAGTTGATATTTAGTCATTAATTACGCAACAGAATGCATTTTCTGACAATATATTTACAAAGTTCACGGTTTTCTAAAAATCAATAAATAATTCAGTAAAATAAACAAATAAAATTATGTGAATGAGATACATTTTCATTTATCAGAGTAAACAATTTCAACATTTTTGAATGAACATCTGATTATAATCTGAATAAGTTTAATTGAACATTCAATTTAATATTAATTTTAAATGTAATTTTTATCAAAGAAAAATAAAAAATTATTTATAATTTCCGGTATTTAGAGTTCTCAAATAAAATTAATTTCTAAAACAATTTGTGTGGCAATCTACAATTCAAATCAAAAGAATCAACAGGAACTCTTTCTTCAAGGTTACTACCGCTATAATAATTAGTATTCTCTTTGGATTTCTACTTCAATCAATGCACTCGCTGTACGTCTGGAATTTAAAATTCGCAATTTCTTCCGTTAGTACATGACCTTCGTTATATATGTTCCGTATTAATGCTGGAATGTATTTCTTCCGTATTTACATCATCGAAGCTAATTTAAACAAGCCAAGTTTTTTATTTGCCGCGAAATAATTATTTCAAACAATTATTGCAATTATCTTTTTACAATCAAAATGATTTGTTCTACATATGGAATCCTTTGAACTAAATCATCTGTTTTAAACTATTCAACCTTCTGGTACAATCTACTTTCGAAATAAAACAAATCACAGTTAAAGATTAATAGAAAATAAAAACTACATATTTAATAGACTTTTGATCAATATAAAAGAGACAAAAATGGTTTTCGTCACACAGGAATAATTTTAGAGAAGTTTCATAACTGTCCTGACTCACTCTGATCAATCTATCAGCTTGACAATATAATTCGCAGTAACACCGCACATCGAACGCTTCCATATTATTTCCATATTATACTTCCATTTCGCAGAAAGTATAATATATATGTTCTATACAAAATAACATTACGGATCATTTTATTGGTTTGTCTGACATATAAGAGAGCCGTTTTACTGTTTTAAAAACTTTTCATTAGTCACCAAACCGCAACCTTGAGACCAGATTGAATATTTAATATTATTATTTTTTGTTGGGCTAAATTTTTCAAGAATAGAAACATTATAAATTCAGATTCATTATAAATAAATATATTATAAAGTTCATGTGTCTTTAAAATCACAAGCATAAATTGAGCACTTCGATAGAATCTTAATCTGAAAATTCCGATTGTAATTATTATCTTTATATTATTATCTTTATATCATCATCTTTATATCATCTTAATGTCATATATGTATTGTACATACACTCTAGAAAAACAGAAAGAAAAGCGGCCATTATTATTGTTCGTTGTAATTATCAAACAAAGAGTAGCGAGCGAGCTCGTGATTTTATGTCAGATGTCGGATTCTCCCGTTTCAGCTGTGCCTGTGTGATTTCGAGATACATTGTCGATATGATACTAACGTGACAGTAATTTCAAGAGTATACGGTTTACGGAAGTTAATCGAAATCTTCGTTTACCATTGAAAATAAGGAGACTCATCCAGCCGCAGAGAAAGAGAGAGAAAGAGGGAGAAGGAAAGGGACGAAATGGTGGACAAAGATTCTTAATTTCCGATGCTTTGTTCTTGTGACCATGGTGGTCCATTTCATTTCCGTTTCGTTATACTGAGGTAAACGAAATCAGAAAAAAGGAGGAGATATCAAATATTATGAAGAGCGGTCACTGCGAATTACGATTAAAATGTGGAATGTTCGCGTGCATATTTATGATTGTTGAGTATTTATCGCACGCATTCAATCACAAAAACCGACAATTAATTCTAATTAAATAATAATTTAAAATTTAGAGTACACATAGAGTAATAATATCTAAAAATATTTACGATATGTGAAATTGCTGCTTTGATTTCTTAAAAACACGTTGTAAATAATAATTAAAATTTTTTAAAAATAATGTACATAAATATACATCATACACGCGCATTATTTTTAGTGCAATTTAATTTTATGCCAAAGATTTACATACACACAGATAAAACAAGAATAAGAAGACGAAGATAAATTATGTGTATATATATGTGTGTGTGTGTGTGTGTGTGTGTGTGTGTGTGTGTGTGTGTGTGTGTGTGTATGTATGCACGTGTAAAACAGAAAAATTTTCCTGTTTAATCAGCCATCGACGTTTTTCTTGTAACTTAGTTATATCATACACTTGAAAAAATTCTGTAGCATCGGATGTTTTTGCTATTAAATCTAGCGATATGCTAGATTTTTTATTTTTTTTATAAATTTTTTTTTTATAAATTATTCCATATTTTTAATGACAAAACATGATGTACCACTGTTTTTATCATCGATATATGTAGTAATCTCCCTCAAATAATTGCAACACGACGTGTATTCTGATTTTAACTTTTTTATATTAGGTGTGGGAAAAAGTTCGTGGCGTTTTTCCCGTTAGATGGCATTAAAAAAACGCCACGAACTTTTTTCCACACCTAATATATTCTCGTTATATAATGTAATTTTAATTAACACCATCCTCGCTTCAAAGACTATAAAACATGATTTTACATTTTACAAAACAGACTTTTGCACAACACTGTTTTTCAGACGGATTTAAGTTAAAATGTTTTTCAACTGTTTATAAATAGTTAATAACAGGTATAATTAATTTATCAAATTTTTATATAAATTTTTATAATTTATTCGTATCAAATGCACTAAAAATTATGTTTATAAGTGGTAGTTGTTCTCGTTACAAGTTAATAATTATCTCCATCACAGAATAAATCTTTATTAAACATCACATTGAGTGAACTAAAATTATTATCTACAAATATTATATGTACATAGAAGAGTAATTCTTTAATGTTAATTAATAGATTTGAACAAATCTTTTATTGTCACATAAATACAAATAGTAAAAAAATGATATACGTGGAAATACATTATATTAACAATCTTATAGTTAGAATTTTTCTTTTACGTTAAAGTCCGATCGATTATTTTCAAATTTTGATATATTATATTAAAATTTAATAATTTATTTTCTCCTTCCTTAATGACGATACTTAATGGACTCACGCAACATTCGACGATATGATATTCAATAAGATAATTCGATTCTAGTGAGCAACATTTTTGTCTTCAAGAAACAAATTCTATTGGATATCGAACATCATACGTTGGATGTCGTGCGCCGTATGAATCTATACATAGCAGGAGTTTCATATACAGCGCAACATATAGACAGTATAGGCATCTGTGACCGCGTTCGAGTTACAGTCATCAGTCGAGAGCCGGAGTTGGGTCTGATCAGACCCACAGCACTCTGACAAGGTTTCTTGAACGGAAAAGTAGAAACACACTTTCACCGTACAAGATGCTGAGGAAAACGATTCTCGTTTTCGCGGCGCTCATTGTGCTTGCCAGTGCCACGTTAGTTAATCAATGTGATTCTGGTAAGTTTATTATTGAATAAAAATATATAAATATTATAAAAAAATACATTAACCTATAAAGATACATTAATCTATTAAAAAACAGCTTTTTAATAAATTACATTTAAAATACGAATCGTTTCTCACGAACATAACAATTCATTGCTTTACCTATAATTTTGTAAGTTGACTTATTTATTTACGTAGCACCGTTACGTAAATATACAGACAAGTTGATAAACAAAAATTTGCTGTATTATGACTAAATGATCAATAAAAATATTATCATTAAAACATGCGCAAGAGAGAATTTTCAGATAAAGCGTTATATAAAATGTTTACAGAAATAATTATCAAACTTGCTTTTAATGTACTGAGACTGAGAACTATGACTGTCTTTTGATGTCACTGAAAAAGTTACAGATCTAAAATACTTATTTTAAAATTAAAACTATTTTTCTTTACGTGAGAGGATTTTTGCTGATATTATTAAGTATCTTTATGAAACTTTCTCGATGTTATATTGCGTTAAAATTTTATTGTACAGAATATTATAAAACATTTGGTCAAAAAGTTTATCGATTTATTTTTCTATTCGCATTCTTAAAAATGTTATACAACTCTATAAGTATGTGAACATTTTTATTCCAAGTTTTCAAGAAGAACAAATAATTCTTTATTTTAAAACTCCATCAAAATTAAATATGGCACCAAAATTAAATATGGTTTATTTCTATTCTCTAAAAATAAAAGAATGGTCATAATTCGTTGTCAAGCCAAACCGAAATATATCTAAAGATAATATATCTTGTTAACATATCATATACATACTGTATATACATTCCAAGCTAATTTATATATCTTGTTATTATTTGATATTTAAATGTATTTTTAGATTTCGCTACTGATTCATATCTGAGTAATAAAAATATTTATTACAACACCTTTATTTATTTAAATGTTGAAATGTTTTTCCAATGCTTAACGTCAATAAATAACTTGTGATGAAATAAATTTTATATATACTTGCATAATTTTTCCATAAAATATATTGGCAAAATTTTATACTTCAAACACTTTAGAATATTTTGATATAAATGAGGGATTTGCGATATATTTTCGATATTTAAAATTCTTTTTGTGGTATATTGTATACTATATAATATTTTGAACATATTCATTTTATCTTGTTATTTTTTTTCAAGAATTGTATAAATATTTGTCAACAGAAATATATTATCCATAATCATATGGCAAATTGCTAAAGGAGAACTGTCCTTCAACAGTCTGACAGATTATTTTTAAAATTATTACACAAGCGAAACTGAATAATTACCTATGGTATATCGAAGATTGCTTCTCATGCTCGTGACAGAAATTATAATTAGTGTTCTCATAATTTTTATCATCAAATAATAATGCCTTTAATGACTCCTAATTATTAGAGATATGTGAATGAGACAACGAATTAGTTTTATTAATACTTATATAATTGCTTACAAGAAATATAATTGATACATGGTGAAAATGATGAGCAAAATACTAACTTATATGTTAATTTATCAATCGACTCGTTTCACCGTTAGAATTTCAAATTTGCTAATTTTGCGCCGATTAAAATAAAAAATAAATATCATTTAAGTATGTAAACAAAGTCTCTTCTTTGTATGTTTGAAGTAAAATAAACAAAATCAACACGAAAAAATACACTAGGTAGATCGATCGTTAAAATTGTAGTTAAAAACAGTTAAAACTGTAGTTTTTTTCAGAAAAAGCTAGAATAAAGATATTGTGATATTGACACTAAATGTGACAATTATGCATACTGATAACACGTTTATTTCGCGCTTTTTCACTGTACATTTACACTAGTAAAATATATTTTTATCGAATTGTGTTTTTAATTGAAATATTTCTTTTTGTTCGATTTACTTAAATGAACTATTGTAATAAAAGTAATAAAGTAAATAAATGTATATGATTTAAAAAATACATTCACAAAAGGATTATTTTTAAGAATGCATAAGAAAAAATTAAAATCACACAGTCATGTTTGCATAAGTACAATTTACAATTATCTTATTGTCTAGAATTTCTTTCTGACTGGTTGTCTAGTTATTTCAGCAATAACCTTCAAGATCATTACGGATCAATCATAATCATGAAAAGCAAACGTGTTATCATTTTCAATCTGAATAAACTTATATTTTTTTTCTTATGACATTGAAGAAAACTTATTATTAATGTCGATTTATTGAGTGACGTAATTTTCTGCTTTTTATGAGATGATATTGATTTAGCATTCAAATAAAAAATTACTATTACTATCAATGTCTGATAAATTAAAAACAATTTTTAATAATTAATCGGTTATTATTTATTAGCGCAAATAGGCATCGTACAATAACTATACGATAAACGTTCGTTTTTTCATATTTTCTATTTATACTTTCTCTTACTTTACATTCTCAGTAATGGGAATCTCGCTGAAGATCAAATATTTCAAGGCAATCAACTCATGAAAACCAC